CTAAAGGAATGGTTTGGACTATATTGGTTACTTCCTTCACTGGGATGCTTATTTTGCTTTCTTTGAGCATTTTGTTTTTCACAACTTGAACCCTATGTGAGACAGGTAGCAAACGAAATGATCCGATTTCTACATCTTTGTAACAGACCTTGTGTTGATGGAACTATTGAGATGTACCAAGTCTGGAATGGAATCGGATGTTAACTTCGCTTTTCATGAGCTTCATGAATATTTAAAATATTGAGCCTATGTGGGCGAGGTATCAAAAGATGTAGACCAATATATCCCATTTTCTCAACAGATCTTGTGTTAATAGAAATAATGGTATGTGTAAAATATAAAGAGAACCTGATGCTTATTTCGGATTTTTTAAACGTTTTGGTTATTCAAAACTTTGAACCTTTGTGTGGGGGAGGTACCAGAAGGAATGGTCCGATCTCTACCGTTTTTTTTAACAAATCCTGTGTTGATGGAAATATTCAGATGTGAAAAGTCTAAATGGAAGCGGATGTTGATTGCGCGTTATATGAGCTTAATGGATATTCAAAATTGCGACCTTTTGTGGGGGAGGTACCAGAAGGTGTGATTCGATATATTCCATCTTCACACCAGATATTGGGTTAATGAAAATATTGTGATGTGAGCAATTTGAAGACAATCGGATTCTTACAGCACATTTTATAAGAGTTGTGATTATTCAAAATTTCGACCCTTTGTGAGGTAGGAACTTCATGGAGAAGACCGATGTTATCCATTTTTGCACCGGACCTAGAACTGACGCAAATATTAGGATCTGCAAAGTTGGAGCAAAATTGGATTATAGTTCATCTTTCTGTGGAGAAAATATATTTTTTGAAAATTTCGACCTTTTGTGGGGGAGGTACCAGAAGGAGTTGACCGATATATTGCATCTTAACACCAGACTTAATATAAATATTGGGATATGTGAAATTTGAAGACAATCGGACTCTTACATCACATTTTATAAGAGTTGTTATTATTCTACATGTTGGCCCTTTGTGGGTGAGGTACTTGATGGAGTATATCGTTATTGTCCATTTTCGCACCTTACCTAGCACTGATGCAAATATTTGGATTTGCAAAGTTGGAGCAAATCGGATTATATTTTCTCTTTGTGTGCAGTAAATTATTTGTTTACAAATGTCCCTTTTGTGATTGTATTACCAGAAGGAGTGGTTCGATATTGCCCATTACCGAATTCGATCTAAGTTTGAAAATAATATTAGGATGAACCAAGTTTGGGTCAAATCGGTTACTCCCTTCGAGAGTTATCTTACGCACCAGCCAGCCAGACAGACGGACATCACTAGATCGACTCCAAATGTCCTGAAACGGATTTGGTCCAAAGAGACCTAGGGTCTATAACTGTTCGGGAGTTGCATCAAAAATATTCATTTTTTTGACCCGTTTTTTTAAAGAAATTCCGATCCACAAAATATATATTAAATTACTGCTTTACTCCAAAGACCCATATCTCTGGATCCAAGGAAGAACGTAACACGTTCTTGGACTCCCACAATGTGGCCTCTTTCGACTTTTGGACGATTTTTTAGAAAATCTGAGTCCCGAACGGTTTTAAAGAATATGTATTTTCATTAGCTGAAACCCATATTGTTTATTGTAGTTTCGGGTCTAAACCGTACTTTTGGGTCAAATATCCGGTCATCCAGGTCCGTCCCCCATGAAAAATATACAGAGTACAAATAACTACCTCAGAAAAAATTGAAAAAAGAAAAACAAGTAAAAAACTGTAAGCTCGGCTGGGCCGAACTTGAATACCCTTCACCATTTGAAACGAATTTGGCAATTTTCAAAAAAAAATAAAAACGCTTAAAAATTCTGTTAAGATCTTAAAAAACCGAATGTAGCCGTTATGTTAGGGTCTATACGACGACGTGGACTTGCATAGACAACTTTTGTCATAACCTATTACAATATTCAAATGCGAAACTTGAAAAAAACTGTTTATAATGTAGCGAAAATTATCAAAATACCGAATATAGGGGTTATAAAACGTGGACCTGCACAGAAAATTTCCTGGCATAGACTGTAGTACCCACTACGAACTTCAAATACAAAAGTTGAAATAATTCCGGTACATAATGTCGCTAAAATCATCAAAATACCGAATATCGGGTAGAACCATTTTATTAGAGTTATACGAAGACTTGGACCTGCACGAACAATTTTCTGTCATAGGCTGTAGTATTCATTACGAACTTCAAATATGAAATTTGAAACAATTCTGGTGAAAAAATTTCCATAAAATCATTAAAATACCGAATATCGGGAGGTGTCATTATATGAGGGCTAAGACGTGGACCTACATGGTTCATTTTCTGTCTTAGGCTGTAGTATCCAATACGAACTTCAAATATCAATTTAAAACAATTCCTGTCAATAATTTCGCTAAAATCTTCAAAACACCGAATATAGGGAGGTGTCGTTATATGAGGGCTAAAACGTGAACCTACATGGTCCATTTTCTGTCACAGGCTGTAGTATCCATTACGAACTTCAAATATCAATTTTGAAACAATTCCGATGAATAATGTCGCTTAAATCACCCAAATACCAAGAGTTGGGAGGTACCATTATATGGGGGCTATGCCACAACGTGGACCTACATAACCCATTTTCAATACCAAAAGTCCTGCAGACGAAAATATACATTTCAGTAAAATTTTATCAACCTACTTCATTTCGTTCGGAAGCTAGAGTGATTTCCATAGACGGACAGGTGGATAGACGAACAGACATTGCTAAATCGACATAGAATTTTATGCTGATCAAGAATGTATATACAGGGTGAGATGAAAAAACTGCAACCAACTTCACTTGTCAAAGAGGTCAGCTGAAAATGTGCACCTTCGGTTGGCCACCAGAACTCAAGCGCTGGCCATGGTGATGATGTGGGCCGCCATAACAGCCGATGGTCGCTCTTCGCTCGTATTACTGGACCGTGGCATCAGAATAAATGCCGGATATTATCGCGAAAATATTGTAGAGGGTGTATTAAAGCCTTGGGCGCGCAAATATTTTTGCCGCAGACCTTGGACAGGACTCAGCATTATCGCACTTAGCACGTGCCACTCAAGAATGGTTACAAAATGAGGTTCCTCGCTTCATTTCCAGCGTACAATGGCCATCAAAATCTCCGGATACCAATCCGTTGGACTATTGTGTCTGGAGTATTTTGGAAAGCAAGTTTGGCACTAAAAAATACCAAAGTATCGATCACCTCAAGCAAGCGCTTCGTCGGAAATGGGCCAAAATACCGCAGAGCAATATTCGGGCAGCGTGTGGCGATTTCATTGGCCGTTTGAAGGCCAAAGGTGGCCAATTCGGTAAAATTTGATGCTATTTCCGACATTTTTTGCTTTCATTCAAAAAAAAAAAATAAATAAATAAAAAATATAAAAATTATGGGGTTTGACTTTGTTGCAGTTTTTTATCTCGCCCTGTACTTTACGGGGTCTAAAATGTATATTTCGAGGTGTTACAAACGGAATGACAAATTTAATACACGCTCCATACTATTTTTGAAGGGAATAAAAAATCCGAGGTCTGAAATATTTTCAAATTTCCAACAATCCGTCTCTAAAAGCAGCAGCAAATACCAACCTCTGGAAATTTTTTTTTTAAAAATCCATATTTTTAAAAAACTAGAGTTTAGCCGGGATCTAAAATATTTTCAAACTTCCAACAACGCTTCCCAAAAAACCGGCAACAGTTGCCTATCATTCTTTTTTGTTTTTGGCAACAACAGCCTCGACGTTGTTTGGGTTTTTGCATTGCTGGTGCCACACAGAGCAGCAGCAACAGCAGCAGCAAAAAAAAAAACAACAGCAAATTGTCTTTTGTTTTTCTCGTTGCTGTTGCTGTTGTTTTTCTTGTTGTTGTCTATTCAGCCAAAACAGTCAGAGTCGCGATTGTTTTGTTTTGTTTTCGTTGCGCTCTCGCCGTTTGTTTTGGTTTTGTTTCGGTTTCAAGTTTAAACTGCGACTCTCAATGCGCTGGGGATTTAGTGTCGATTTAGCCAGCAACAGTAACAGACGTGTGCGCGATTTACAGGCGATTTCAGCGATTCGAATTTCGAAACGGTCGGTCAATAGAAAAAAAATAATAGAAATAACGAGCAGTTAACAATAATAAATTCAAACCTTCCCCCCACTCAAAATCAAACAAACCCAACAATTTGGCTAAGCGTTAAGAGAGACGGACAGACGAACGGTTGCTGCCACCAAATATTGCCACTACACAAATGCTTTTGTTGTTGTTGCTGCTCTTGTCTATTTGGAGCATTTGAGGTTTCGTTACAATTTTTTTAGTGTTGTTGTTGTAATGCGGGCTCTGTTGTAAACCAGGCAGGAATGTTTGTTGTGCGTTTGCGCTTCGCTTGCGTTTCAGTTTACATTTTTGATTTGCTTCGGCGTTGTAATAAAATTAAACGTGCTCACCAATAAAAATAACTTGAAGGAAATTTATAACAAGCCGAACAACAACAACAATTTTACGATGACAATTACAACAAAATCATGCAGACAACAATTGTTTGGCAATCGTGAAATGTAAACGTAAAACGAAACCGAGAAATGCAACAAAAAAAAATTTACAAAAATTGAACAAAAATTGACAATCCGAAATAAAGAGAATCACCACCCCCTCCCCCAAGCAATTGTCACACGCCGCGTTTTGTTGTGGAATTTCGAACAAAACTGTATTTCAAAAAAAGAAGCTACGAATCTGTATTCGGTTTTATCGATTTTTGTGTTCGGAAAAAAATTTTTGTAACGGAAGTGTTCAATTGAAACTTTTTACTGGAGCAGAGCAGAGCAGAGCAAAGCAAACAAACAAATAATTACAAAAAAAAAAAAGAAAAATTATTTTCCCTATCGAAAAAAGCAAGAAATTTCCTCAATTTGCACAACAAAAATTTTTTTGAATGAAAATAAATTTCCTTAAAAAATATTAACCAAAAAAAAAAAGGAGAAGAAGAAGAAAAATCAGTGCAGTGAATTTTGAAAACAAAACAAAAAATTATTTTTGGTGAAAATTTTTGGCATATTTTGCATTAACAGTTTAACAATTGTTTTTCTTTCCTCCACCTTCAAAATGTATTTGAGCTATTGGCTATTAACGGTGTGGGCGGTAAGTTGCAGTTTTTGTTTTTTCATTTAAAAAAAAAATATTTCATAATTATATTTTATGCTGGCCCATACCTTCACATTGCATAATTGATTGAAAACAAACCGCGTTTCTCACGCGATATTCAAAATTGTTGCTTGTCTACGCCTAAGCCTATATATTTTTTATTTTACTCAATTTGTTGTATTGTGTCTTTTTTATTGCCAAACAAAAGTTAATTGAACCTATTGGTAATTAAGCCTAGCAGTATTAAATTTTTAAAATATTTTTTTTAAATAAATAAATAATAAAATAAAAAAATAAAAACTGATTATTAAAAAAAAATTATTTTTTTTTAATTTACTTGAAAAAAATTTATTTTAAAAAAATATGTATTTAAAATATTTTTTCTTTCAAATTAATTTTTTTCAAAATAAATTAAAAAAATTATTTAAAATTTTTTTAAATAATCAGTTTTCACTTTTTAAAATATTTTATTTTTAAAGAAATTTTTTTGAGATTTTTTTTAAATGAATTAAAAAAAATTTCAATAATTTCTTCATAAAAATCAAAAAAAAAAAAAATTGTTTTTAATTAATTTTTTTCAAAATAAATTAAAAAAAAATATTTTATATTTTCTTAATAATCAGTTTTCACTTTTTAGAATATTTTATTTTTAATTAATTTGAAATAATTTCTTCAAAATAAATCAAAAAAATTGTTTTTAATAATTTTTAAATTTAATTTTTTAAAATATTTTTTTAAATAAATATTTTAAATACAATTTTTTCTAAAATTAATTTTTTTCAAAATAAATTAAAAGAAAATCTTTTAATTTTTTTAATAATCAGTTTTAACTTTTTAAAATATTTTGTTTTTAATTAAATTTTTTGGAGATTTTTTTTAAGTGAATTAAAAAAATTTTACATAATTTCTTCAAAATTAATCAAAAAAAAATTAATATTTTTTTTAAATAATTGTTATACCCTTCACAATTCTATGGAGGGCATATTAGCTTTGTTATTCCGTTTGTAACTCCTCGAAATATTTATAAAATATTTGAAAAAATATATATTCTGGATCAGCGTAAAATTCTAAGACGATCTAGAGATGTCCGTCTGTCTATCTGTTGTAATCACGCTATCTTTCGAACGAATTGAGATAGAAGGCTAACATTTTGTACACATGTCTATTAAAAAGTAAATTGAACCTATTGGTAATTAAGCCTACCAGTTTTAATTTTTTTTTAATAATTATTTTAAATATTTTTTTTTAATTATATTTTTTTCAAAATAAATTAAAAAAAAAGTATTTTAATTTTTTTTAATTATCGGTTTTCACTTTTTAAATTTTTTTTAAGTAAATAAATAATAAAATAAAAAAGTGAAAACTGATTATTAAAACAAAAAAAAAATAAAATAATTTTTTCAAAATAAATTAAAAAAAATATTTTACATTTTTTTAAATAATCAGTTTTCACTTTTTAAAATATTTTATTTTTAAAGAAATTTTTTTGAGATTTTTTTTAAATGAATTAAAAAAAATTTCAATAATTTCTTCAAAAAAATCAAAAAAAAAAAAATTGTTTTTAATAATTTTTTTTTGATAATTTTTATACCCTCCACCTATTGGTAATTAAGCATAGCAGTTTTTATTTTTTAAATATTTTTTTAAATAAATATTTTAAATACAATTTTTTTTCAAAATTAGTTGTTTCTAAAATAAATTAAAAAAAAATATTTTAAATTTTTTTTAATAATCAGTTTTCGCTTTTTCAAATATTTTATTTTTAAAGAAATTTTTTTTTTTAAATGAATTAAAAAAAAATTTCAATAATTTCTTCAAAAAAATCAAAAAAAATGTTTTTAGTTAATTTTTTTCAAAATAAATTAAAAAAAATATTTTATATTTTTTTAATAATTAGTTTTCTTTTATATTTTATTTTTAATTAAATTGAAATAATTTCTTCAAAATAAATCAAAAAAATTGTTTTTAATAATTTTTTTAATAATTTTTAAATTTAATTTTTTAAAATATTTTTTTAAATAAATATTTTAAATACATTTTTTTTTCAAAATTAGTTTTTTCCAAAATAAATTAAAAAAAAATTATTTTAAATTTTTTTTTAATAATCAGTTTTCGCTTTTTCAAATATTTAATTTTTAATTAACTTTTTTGAGATTTTTTTTAAATGAATTAAAAAAATTTTACATAATTTCTTCAAAATAAATCAAAAAAAAAATTTAATATATTTTTTTTAATAATTTTTATACCCTTCACAATTCTATGGAGGGTATATTAGCTTTGTCATTCCTTTTGTAACTCCTCGAAATATTTATAAAATATTTAAAAAATATATATATTCTGGATCAGTGTAAAATTCTTAGACTAGATCTAGAGATGTCCGTCTGTCTGTCTGTTGTAATCACGCGAATTGAGATAGAAGGCTAACATTTTGCACACATGTCTATTAAAAAGTAAATTGAACCTATTGGTAATTAAGCCTACCAGTTTTAATTTTTTTAATAATTATTTTAAATATTTTTTTTTAATTATATTTTTTTCAAAATAAATTAAAAAAAAGTATTTTAATTTTTTTTAATAATCGTTTTTCACTTTTTAAATTTTATTTTTAAGTAAATAAATAATAAAATAAAAAAGTGAAAACTGATTATTAAAAAAATAAAATATTTTTTTTTTTCAAAATAAATTAAGAACAATTATTTTAAATTTTTTTAAATAAGCAGTTTTCACTTTTTAAAATATTTTATTTTTAATTAAATTTTTTTGAGATTTTTTTTAAATGTATTAAAAAATTTAAATAATTTCTTCAAAATAAATCAAAAAAATTGTTTTTTTTATACCCTCCACCATTCTATGGAGGATATATTAACTTTGTCATTCCGTTTCTAACTCCTCGAAATATTTATAAAATATTTAAAAAAATATATATTCTGGATTAGCGTAAAATTCAAAGACGATCTAGAGATGTCCGTCCGTTTGTTTGTCCGTCTGTCTCTTTGTTGTAATCACGCTATCTTTCGATAGAATTGAGATAGAAGGCTAAAGTTTTGCATACATGCACAGTTTACCAGTAGGCAGGTTTATTTAGTGAATGGTTCATGTCGGTCCACGTTTTCGTATAGCCCCCATATTACGATACCTCCCGATATTCGGTATTTTCATTATTTTAGCGACATTATTCACCGAAATTATTTCAAATTTCGTATTTGAAGTTCGTAATGGGTACCACAGCCTATGACAAAAAATTTGGTATGCAGGTCCACGTCTTCGTATAGCCCCCATATAATGGTAGCTCCCGATATTCGGTATTTTGATGATTTTAGCGACATTATTCACTGGAATTTTTTCAAATTTGGTATTCGAAGTTCGTAAAAGATACTACAGCCTATGACAAAAAAATGTCGTATCCAGATTCACGTTTTCGTATAGCCCCCATATATAGGTGTCTCCCGATATTCGGTATTTTGATGATTTTAGCGAGATTATTCGCCGGAATTGTTTCAAATTTGGTATTTGAAGCTCGAAATGAATACTACAGCCTTAGACAGAAAATTGTCTATGTATGTCCAGGTCTTCGTATAGCACCTAAATATCGATACATCCCTATATTCGGTATTTTGATGTGTTTGCGACATTATTCACCGGAATCGTGTCAAGTTTCGTATTTGAGTATTGTAATGGCCAATGACGAAAAATGCTTATGCAGGTCCATGTCTCCGAATATACCCAAATATAACGGTAACTCACTATATTCGGTATTTTTAAGTTTATCATGGATTTTACTCTTTATTTATATATATATTTTTTTTTTTTTTGAAAATTTCCAAATTTTTTCCAAGTGGTGGAGGGTATTCAAAGTTCGGCCCGGCCTTACTGTTATTCAATTTGTAGTATTGAATGTTTCTTTGCCTCACAAAAATTAATTGAATTAAGTAAAAAATTAAGTCTACAAGTTTTATTTTTTAATATTTTGATTAAACGTTTTTAAATATTTTTTTTTTTTCGAAGAAGAAAAATATGTTTTCTTAAATACATTTTTGTTCAATAATTTTTTGTAAAGTATATTTTTTTTCAAATGAATGTATTTAAAATATTTTTTTTTAAATATTTTTTCCATCATTTTTTTAAATTTATTTTTTTCAAATAGGTTTTTTAAAGCTCATTTTTTTAAATAAATTTTCTAAAAACAAATATTTTGAGAATTTCCATTGCTCTAAAAATTACAACAAAAAAAAAACAAGAAATTAAATATCCAGCCCTCCAAAAAAGAAAATAATAAAACCAAAAAATTGGTATTGGAATCGCTGTTCATATGTATCCTGGATATATGGAGGTAGTGTTGAAAATATTTGCCATAATTGTACAAAAAATACTGAATGGTACTAAATTTAGTTTTGGTTGAAGGAACGAAAACGAAATTTTTAAATTTGATATTTAGATTACTGACGGTATCGGTGTTTGAGATATGGATGAGATTCGGAAATCAGTCCTATATTTGTACGAAAAGTACTAAATGGTACTAAATTTGTTATTGGGTGAAGGAATAGAGCTGATATCCTGAATTTTAAGATTGAGGTCTCTGATGGTATTGTTGGTACCTCCGAACTCGATCTAAGTTTGATAATAATATAACGATGTATTAAATTGGGCCCAATTCGGATACTCCCTTCGAGAGTTATACGTGCGCACCCGCCAGACAGACAGAAGGACGGACGGACACCCCTTAGATCGACTCCAAACTCAGGGTTTGAAACCGTTGTTTAGATAAGGCACGTTTTTCGTCATATCAAATGATATTTGTTACCCTCTGAAGCTATATAAACACATTTGGGGTACAAAGCTAGCTGCGTTTGAATTTATGCAAAATTCTCCTACAAATCATAATTTTATCAGGATGGCGTTAAAGATAAAAATATTCTTCATCAAATTTTAGTAAAAGTCACCAAAGAAATGAAGTTTATATTTTCATTATATATCAAGAAATTGTTTAATTCAAGGTT